GGGTTTAGAGGACTTGGGCTCCGGCTTACTCGAAGCCCCCGTGGCCTTGGCCCCGGAGGACTTCTTCTTGGCAGGGGGTGTTTTTGTCGAGGATCCCCCGACACTTGGCGCCTGCTGCGCCTTTTCCTTGGCAGGGGGATCTGTTGGCTTGCGCTTCTTTGATCCCCTGGCCGACACCTCTGGAAATGTCTCCATCTCCTGCACCTCCTCCGGCTCGGAGGTGGACTCCTCGTCTACCAGCGGAGGAAGCTGTGAAGGTCCTGCTTCTATACCCGAGGCTGGTGGGACCTCCACAATACGCTTCCTCCGCCCCTTCACGGGAATGGAGGCGCATTTCGCGCCGCCCATTCCGTGATTGCTCGGCTGGCCTAGTCGCGCACAAAGCGGACATTTCGGCTCAGCCAAGCACGTGGCCGCATGGTGACCACCGTCCCCGCACCGGTAGCAGATGTTTTTGACATCTGCCCCGGTGCATTGCCCGGCCAAATGGCCGAAGGCAAGGCAACGAAAGCACTGCTTTTGCCGTGCCTTTAAGGGCTCTACGGGGAGAGTAAGCCACCCCACTTGCACCCTTCCTTTGCATGCTACCTTCCGGGCAGCGGAGATGGGGAGCCTCACCCAGAGGGTCCCCAAACCGGAAGGGGATGCGCGAACCTTACCAGCCCGCACATCCCCAATTCCGCAACTACCCGCCGAAGCGAGGGCCGCGGCCACATCGGCAACGTCGAGGTCTGCCACCACATTCCGCATGCGGATCACCGCGTGTTTGATGGGATGGGTGAAGCGGATTCCCTCGTCCGCCGCAAAGACCGGGGCCACTCGCTCGACGAGTGCCGCGGCCTTTTTCGCCCCATCTGGCCCAGAGACCTCAAAGAGAAGGCCCCGTTTGCCGCCTTCTTCGGGCGGAGCCCGGTTATACCAGGCTCCGCCGGATTCACTGCAGCAACCGCGCGCCGCATTGTAGTGGATAGCCCATGGCGCAATGACATGGGGGTGCCTGGAACGGCAATACTCCTACGTCGGCCCAGAGTGTACGATCACTCTGGGCCGGTACGTCTATTTTCTCTTCTAAACTTATTCCCATTGTTACAGAAGGGTGGTTTAATTTCGGGGTTTTCCTTCTCCTAGGCCGGCTGCCCACAGGGCTGACGAGCTCGGCCTGCCCGAGTGCGCTCTTGGTCTGGCCGCTCCCCGTGGACCTGTCCGGCAAGGGTGATCCTGCCAGGAACCGAAGTTCTCGCCGGCATAGCTCCACGGATCAGCACGGCACTCAAACCCCTCCACCACGACATGGTGGCACACCCTCGGAGGGGTGTCGACACATGCTGCGTTGCACTTCGGACAATGCGGCGATGTGTCGCACTCTGTGGCAACCAGCAGTTCTTTCTAGAACTGCTGTTGCCCCGCAGCCTAAAGAGGTCATTGAGCAATGATAGTGACGTCTCATCACATTGCTCAATGGCCTCACCTACTTAACTTTAAAAACTGCCGCACAACAACGTTTGTATTATTTAAAACAATACCTCATATACATAAATAAATGAGTAATTATTATTTAATTTAATCTACGTATTCATAAATAAATAATTCTTATTTAAAGTGATCTATTTGTTGAATAATAAAAATGTAAAAAAACAATTAACAGTAATTATTTATTTATTAATTATTTATGTATTCAGTAATTTCGAAATATATCACTAATTTTTGTAAATAAATCAATTAGTTACTTAACTTCTAACTGTTTTTATTTACTTATTCATGTATTATTTAACGCGACATAGTAGAATGAAGTATTAACAGAAGCAATGTAATTGGGTTATTTAACAAGCGAGAGAAGTCGCTCCTGCATACTGTTGTAAGGTGGTTTCACAATTACAAAGAAAAAAAGATGAGGAAGTTGAGCTATTGAGCTGTTACGTTTTGAACCTACGGTAATGGTCGGGCCCTTGAGGAGTGATGTAACTGACACATGACACTTTGCGTGTCTACTCCTGACACAGTGACCCAGAGAGATATGAGCGTCAAGTTTGCGGGTTGAGCAAGATTTCGGTGTCGTAAACAAGCCAACGAGAGATTCTCGCTATTGCTTGTTCAACGGCTTCTCGCTCGCCGGTTCCCTTTCGAGTCTTAGATGCGAATCTAAATTACTTGGGACGGAACCTGGCGATCAATCGGAGGATGACAGAAATGAAGACGGTTACGTGAGGTCCAAGGATTAATTAAATTTAGCCAATTTTATTTTAGATGCCATTCTATTAACAGTTTTATTCAATTTATCTGTGCATTATAGTTTACATATGGTCACAATATGTTGTGGTTTCTACGAGTGTCAGATGTCTGTATACGCATAAGTGTGTGTGATTGTGTGTATTTATGTATACATATATGCGACTCAGTCGTCCAAAGTCACTTCTATTATTTTTCTTATTATTACTGTTGAGGGACAAGAATAAAACCGATAGAAATATTTTATAGGAACTCCGCGGACTTCGGGGAAACCAGGAAATTTAACCAGAATATTGTGATCAGAGGGGAGGGTACTAACGGCATAACGGAGAAAGTTAGGAAATGTCCTTTGGAGATTAAGAATTAATTCATTCTTAGAAGGGCGACAGGTAAGAAGGTAGCAATATAAAATGTGACAAGTGGCGAGGTAAAGGATCTTCTTTCTTTTTTGATTGAATGTCGGACTTGGATGATTCAGGAGAAAGATAGGGAGAATGATGAAAAAGACGGGTAGAGGGAGGATTAGGAGTTTCTCCAGGAGCTACTGGAGAATACGATGGAGATTCTAAAAAAGATGATGAAGACGGAGAAGGTAGAGAAAGCGCAAGAGGCAGTGTAGGAGAAAGGGGAGGCGACTGAGTCCGGTATAGAGTCGAATGTGTCGGGTGATACTCTATTGACCACAGTACGATTTGACACCGCTCGATTCGACACAGATTTATTTGACACCAAATTATTCGACACCGTACGATTCGACACCAGATTATTCGACACCGTACGATTCGACACG